TCAGTTTGTAGTGATTAACGGATTCCGGGTGTATATTGTAAATTGTAGTTTCAGTAGAGCAGATATATACTATAAATCAAGTCTCAAACCACCGGAGATGGACAACTTTTTTAGCTATTTTAATACGCTACACAATTAATAAAAGCAAAATATAATGTACTATGTAGGTATAAAGACTTAATGTTTCCAGTTTATTACACCTGTGTGTTTTATAAAAATATCTAGTCAGTTGATATTCAAGGTGTGGTCAGAATGTCAGTTAAAAGTAGTGAGTCTTTTCAGCTGGCAAAAGCTACAGGTATTATTTTATATTTTCAGTGACAAATGGAATTACCCGTGATAACACAGCCTCCCAGTGAAGGTTTAAGAGGACTGGGAACCTCTTCCCTGAGTCAGTGCAGTAGTATTTTAGACCTGGTTTCATTTCTGGATTTCACTTGCCATTTGACCCTGGTCGACCAATTTCCCTAATCCCAATAGGGATCAGGGTCTTCATCATTTTGGGCTGCTAATACAAAGAGCCATAAACTGAGTGGCTTATAAACAACGTAGACATTTTTTGCTGGAGACAAGAAGTCTACGATCCAGGTGCCGGCAAGTCTGATGGGAGCCTACTTCCTGCTCATGGGTGGCTCTTTCAGCTGTGTCTTTACTTGGTTATAGGGATAACTGAGTCTCTTGGGTCTGTTTTACAAAGTCATTAATCCCATTTGTGAGGGCATTGCCTCCCAATGCCATAGGGTCATGGTTTAAGATTTCAACACCAAATTTGAGAAGAAAGAAGCATCCAAATCACAGCACTGTCTTGTCCTCTATAAAGCAGGGGTACAATAGCTCTCATGCAGCATAGCTGTGTGGATTAGATGACTTTTAATTATGTAAAATGTTTCCCAGTGTCCTGCCCACATTCATGCTAAGAAAGCACTGTTTTCTCCCCAGATCCTCTTACCTGCCACTCCCGAGGAGAAAAGAACCCAGTAGTTTAGTGTCATGCCTGCCATGGAGTATGCAAGCAAATATAATTATTATATAATTATGTCTTCTAAGGAATTTTGTAATTTTCTTCTAAGTCCTACAATGTTAATTTAATACACTGTTTTAATAAAAGCAATAAAAGAACATAAATTATTCCATTATTCTGAACTTTGATTGTTAAAAACACTGCTTTGCAACAGAATTACATTTTAAGATTATACATATGTGCAATAGGACATATTGTATCACATAGATATAAATCCTAAGCATATTAAAGATAATTCATATTGTACCTGAGCTATGAACATTAGACTCATTGATATACCTTTTTTCTTTATTTTTATGTCTTTTCTTTTTGCAGTGGGATTTAACTTTTCCAAAGAAACTTGTTTTAATAAAAATATTCTTAGGATAAAATATATCTTGCATATTTTGTGAATAGTTATGCAATATAGTATTATTGAACTAATTGAAAGATTGACTTAAGTACATGCACAAAATGATATAGCTAACATTTGCCATAAACTTGGTTTTTATAAATAAGTAAACAATAAAAAAATTTATTTGAATATTAAAATCATTTTATGTTTCTAAAATTATTACGGGATGAATTACTATACATTTTGAGATAGGATGATATAAAAACTATGAGTATTTGATTGAATGAAAATGAGGAATAATGATTCTAATACCAAGAATTAGCTGTTGTCCAGGAGCTGAAGAATTTGCAGCTGTTACAGGTGGACTCTTTGCACATGATTCCCAGGCTCAAATTTTTTTTCTCTCCCTATTTTAACTCATGCCACAGTTTAATGGTCCTGCCAGAGTCACGGGTAGTGCTAAATAGATCACAGGATTGCTGCTTGTGGTAACATGACAGCAGTAGATACCACTAGTAGCTAAGAGTAAAAATTGCCTGAGTCTAGCTACTCGAAGTGGGAAATTTCCTTTAAATGAAAGATAAGTAACATAAGATGAAGATACTTTTAATATATAAAGTACAATAAAGGGATAAGTATTTATTAAACTTTATCTTATTTGAACATGTAAAGAGCATACACAAACCAATAAGAGAAAGAAAACATCAAATGCAAAAACCAAAAACGCTTAAAAACAATAACCTCACTAGCATTTTAAAAATGCAGAATAGAAAAAAGTCAGATCAGTACAATTGAAATATTTGTTGATATGTAGAATTGATCAAGGTGCAAAAATTTTTTTTTCTAGTGAGAGTATAAAATGATTTCAGCCAGTTTAAAATGTATTTAGTATAGTAAGAAATGTCCATGTACTGAGGCCCAGATATTTCATATCTTCATGACTATGTTAAAAGAACTCTTGCACCTATGCACAGGGAGGCATGCACAAGTATACTCACTGCAGTATCCTGAGACATTGAAAGCAAACTAAGGGCTTGGGAAGTATGGCCCATATAAGAAAAACAATATTATTCACTGATTAGAAGTAATGAGCTGTAAGTGGGGGTGTTGACATAAAAAGATAGATGGAAATAAAGTATAAACTGTTTGTATGACATGATGTCTCACCATTCGGTTTAAAGAGAAAGGAAGGAGGAAAAAGGAGATGGGGGGGGACAAAAAACAAAAAGTAAGGGAGGAAGGCAGGGAAGGAGACTAGACTAGACTTTTTATTGTAGTAGTTTTCAAACTTTCTTGCAAAGGTCCCTCGGTAAGAAACATATTTTATATCTTGATTGATTGGACTCTTACTATGCTCAGTGCACTCTGAAAATGTTCTGTCTTGTTCCAGTTCATTTCAATCCATTTTTCAAAATGCTAGTCATAACCCTTTAAACTGACTTTAGGACTTAACTACAGTTTGAAAAACCTTTTTCTGAGATACTCCCATATATAAATGAGTAACAAGGAGATGGAAAGCACCACATTTAAACTAATGTCCTGGGTTACTGCAAGGTAAGTAACTGTGATGGGTAGTGGTTCCCCGGGAGACTTGAGTCTCATCTGTGATATTTATGTTATTATTTGCTTATTTGATAAGGGGCAGGAGTACTTAAACATTGAGGCTGTGTGTGTGTGTGTGTGTGTGTGTGTGTGTGTGTACTTTTAGAGAGTAAGCAATCAAATCTACTTTTGAGAGACAAGAATTTACTGGTTTTGAGAGAGGAGTGGTAAAAGGGACTTAAGCAAAAGTATCTTTAAGTTAAATTGCTTAGTCAATAAGTTCAGAAGACAGACCTAGCTAATTCTCTGTTTTCGTGTTTAGGGCATATGCTTGTGGCAAGGTAGAGTCAAGCCTGTGTGATAACCCATTCACAAGGTCACCACAAACCCCAGAACTCCACCATGCTGTGAGATTTTCACTTGTTACCTATGAGTATTTGGTCTACAAATAATATAAAGTATTCAGTCAAAAAATCAGAATTCAAGCTTATTGTTTTCAAAAATGCAAGCATAGTATTCCTGTAGCAGCATCACCTTAGCCTCGTTCCATAGTCTCCAGTTTTTGTATGGATCTAGACAAGCCAGGACAGACTTATTTTTGCAAGTAGAAAATATTAGGTGGAAAGTAAGGCATTGTACATATGGTAATCTTGATAAGCAGAAGCAGACAACTCCAGCTCTGTTTTCTATTTTATAACTGTATCCATTCTTTCTGATTTACCCTATCTTCCTTTTTCTCAAGCAAAAGGTAATTTATTAAACTTTATCTTATTGATCAAATAATTGATGATAAAAAGTTTGTTACAATATACATAGGATATAAATTCTTTAACTTCTAGATGTTTAAACAGGATATTCATTGAAAATGACAGGAACTAGATTATTTCTTGTGCTGATTTTCAAATAACTAAGTATGAGACACCTGCAAAAAAGGATGTTTATATTTCATTTTATTTTTTGTGCCTTAAGTATAAATTTTCATGTACCATAATAAATCAAATTTGACTGTTTTAAACAACCACACAAAATTTTCTCTTTAGATGTTCGAGAACAAAACATTTAAGTTAAAATATGCAGGCTTTTTTAGTAAGCACTTTATGAATAATTTAAAAAGTCTTAGTTACTGCTACAGCAGTGATTATATTAAAATTTAATTTTATATAATTGTTGTGTAGAGGGAAAAATGTGTCTTAGGGACTTAAAAAAAACAGGAAATTTGTGAAAGAATAATTTGCAGAAGCCATGCTATAGGTTAAAAAGAGGAAGGGAAAGGGGAAGAGAAGGAAAAGAGGGAGAAGGCAAACACATCCACGTGTAAGTGTGTCTTGTATTGTCTCCACTGTGGATCTGTGGGTCAGAAGGGAAAGAGGGTGGCCTCATGAGCAACACAGAAATCAAAGCCATTCCGTGGTGCAGCTTTTATTCCTCAATTTAAGGATGGAGCACGTAACCGTGACAGAGTTGGAGAAACAATTCATAGATAACCTGACACCAATTAGCCTAAATCTGTGAAGGTGATGTGACTTGATAATGAAAATTCAGATAAATTAAACATTTCCAACTTAGACCTGCAGAGAATTCCAGGTGAAATTAGAATTTATAATCATCAAGGATTGGAAACTTACTATATTGTAGTTAAGAGAATGTTTGGTTCTTTGCTCCTAAAATTGCCTATATGTCTGCCTTTAGTAGTTTGGCTCAAATTGGTTTAAACATATTATGGAAGGCATTATGAATGTAAAAATTGAAAGGGTGATAGGCTTTTCTCCACTCACATTTGCAGCCAAGCTTTTCAGTGGCTGTAGTATCCAAGGTAGCTCTACTTCCTAAGGGCTGTGGGTTATACTTGCACACAACGTGTTCAAGAGATAACTGGTCTTGCAAATGTTGTGACAAATAGCATCACTATGTTAGTGAGGAGCCTGAGCAATGAAGGGAAGAACCTGTTTATTCTATAAAATAAAATACTGCACGTTGTCTTATTGGTAGGATGAGGTCTTTGCTTTACTTTTTTTTTTCTTTTTTTCAGAATTTGAGCCTATTTTCCCACGAATATCACTTGTAAAAGAGAACTTGACTAATGACAGACTTTATTACCTGCAGCCTCTGCGGGGATTGCCGTGTCTCAGAGGAAGGTGCGTCAGATCAGTGACCCTATTCAGCAGATATTAATTCAGCTGCACAAGGTCATCTACATCACACAGGTTGGTGTGCTAGCTTTTTACTTTCTTCGCATTTTCCATGCAATTTGGTGCTGTTACTGCTGAAGAGCTGGCTTACGGAACTTTCACGTAGAGTGCATACTCACTCGTGCTTATACCAGCCAGCTACACACATGTGGGGACATGTTGGGTCAGCGGCAACCCAGGAGAGCAAAAGGGTACACAGAAAATAAATACATTGGCATTTCCCTGTGATCTCAAACATGCTTTCTCACTGCCAAAAACAAACCTCCTCACAAATGGCCCTTCAGTATGGAGGGGACAGAGCTGAGCTGAGCCTTCTTTTCTATAAGCAGATCTACCACAGAAAAGAAAAAAAGTAGTGCCTATTTTTTCCCTACTAATCTGAAGGATACCAGGTTGCAAATTGTACCTTTTAGAGATGTGAGCTCCAAATCCACACAAAATCCAGCGTCATGAAGACTTTGTAGATATCCGTGACTATCACGTATTGACGAAAAAAAAAATACTGAGAAAGCAGGTGTGAATTGTTGACAGAAATTTTTCAGGTGAAAACAACTTGAATATTCATCCACCAAAGATATATACTGTGAAGTAAAAAATATATTTTCATAGACAAAGTAGAGACCTATAGATAGGAAAGTCATGATTACATTGAAGTTTATAAAATTGTGTCTTATACAGTTTATTGATTCATTGACTTATTGGACATAAGTCAATTTGTGCTTGTTCTAGGAATTTCAGATATACCAGTGAGCAAAACAGAAAAACATCCTTACTCTAGGATTCAAAGAACCAGTGCTGAGGTGCTATCAGTTGTCGGTTTTGGCAATTCCAACTGTACATTAAGGTATTGCACAGAAATTTTATAGGGTCAGAAATGGGGCTCATTGGGAGTCAAACTCTAATGCTTCATCTTTCTCTTGAATAACTTAATTCCCCCTTAAATCCCACAACTACCCCCCCAAATTTACATGGCTGTAACATACTAGAATGATAAGACTCTAAGAATTATGTAATTTTGATTTATAACCAGTGCCTAGTATTTCTGGAAAGCCTGTTTTCCTTTCTGCAAGGACAGTCACTCTAGCAAATGGCTGTAAATACTTTGAGGAAGGTTTAGCGAAAAATTGATGCCGTGCAGCTATAGTAATGTTTCGGGATCTTCCTCAAGGGAAGTTTCCCAGTTAACCAAGGTGCTTTGGGCCTTTTAATTTACTTAGGTCTGGAAATCGGATGAGAGGTGGAGACTTTTTGTTATGGCGATGGCAACCCAAGTCTATCAGAGTTAGAGATTCTCTTCTGTTACTTAGACTCAAAACCCCTGCAGTAGGCTGATTATTAATTTCTTTTCCAGGGGCAAGCTAGTCAGTTAACAACCACCAAAGCTCTCTGTAGTTCAGGGCACTCACACTGACAGTGTATTTCTGCTGCCCGCTATGGTAAATGTTCCCAACTTGTCACTGGCAGTCAGATGCTGTCACTTGGCCTCTGCTGACTGGATATATTGGAATCCTACACCTGCCTGTGTCCTACCTGGCCTATTAAGGAGAGCCCCAGCATAGAGGGGGCTCCAATGTATTTCTCAGTGCCTCATTGGAAGGAGTGCCCTTTGGGTGTTCTCACTGAATGTGGTTGGGGTGGGAGTACCATGTTCTCACTGAATGTGGTTGGGGTGGGAGTACATGTGCAGAGCACACACTGTAAATTCAGCCCAGTGTTCTGGTTTCTCCAAGCCTTTGAATTCTCACCCACACATGCCAGAGAAGCTCTGGAATTTCATCTTCAATAAACGCTATTAAAACAAGTTTCAGTCAAAAATCTCTATGAATTCTTTCTGATCTAGGGCTGTAGTTTACCTTTGTTGGCTTAACATCCTTAGAATCTACTTCTCCACGTGTTCTCACCACTTAATTGATATGTAGCAGCAAAACTGTGCAATTCTCTTGGTTTAGAAGCTGTTTCCTCCTGCATCATGGATGTAGTGATATCCCTGGATTGTGCTAAGGTCTGACGCTGGTTACAGATTTGATCTTAACTGAACAAGTATCCCTTTTTGAGACAATCCAATGAGGTAATCATCCAGTTTTCAAGTAAAGGAAGATATGTTCTTCCATACACAAAATGACAAGCTACTTCCACTAACCATGAAAACTTGGGGCAACCTGGGTTTTAACACTGTCAGTTATAACTGCATTCAACAAGACGTTCCTGTTGCAAGCTTTAGGATCCTGTGTTTTTCTAACCTTCACATGAAAAATTTGACACTGACACTGTAGTAACCTGCCTAATTAAATTTTGTGTTTGCTTATCAGCCCCATTGGTGCTGTGGCATCACAAAATGACAGACTCTTTTAGAGCTGTCATGGAACCTCTCTGGGTCTCAGACCATGATTTGAACTGAGAGTTAAAAGCTTTGGCATCTGTTTTCCTTCAAAGTGTTCCACTGCACTCAGACTAACCCATCCCATCCCACGGTCCTTGTAGGCTTCATTACTGCCTCACAGTCAAGTGCAGCACCACCTGGGCCTCCAAGCTGCTTGCTTACATTGGCACTTTATCAAGGTGATAACCTGATGAATTGTGGTGCCTCGGAATGCCATGAATTACTGGCATCCTGGGTCCTGTTGCCATCCAACAAATAAACAGAACTCATCCCTGGGCTCTAATTCCGTCTATGCTGGTGTATTCCCTGAGACATTTCCTGCAACCTGTATCTGATCCAGCCAGAAACTGTACAGTAGTTATGTTTTGTCAGCTTTCCATCACTGAAACAAATTCCAGAGAAAATCAACTCATAAAGAGGTTGATTTTGGTTCAACATTTTCGAGGTTCCAGTCCATGGTTCGTTGGTCCTGTTGGCCAAGTTGCTCAACAAATTCAAATTACATAGTCAAAAATAACAGTTTTTTTTCTTTGATTGATCATTGTTTATGCCTAAATCTTGTTATCTGAACAAGTACTTTTAAGTTAATACGCAATATATTAACTAGTGTTAATTTCCTATTTTTCTTTTAAATTCTGTATTGTTTTTACCCTTTTTCTGTTTTTGAAATTAAAAAAAGTTACATAGTGGACCAAAACCTCTCTCTTCATGGCTGAAGCAGGAAAGACAGAAAGAGGAAGGTTTAAGGGGACTAATTAACCCCTTCAAAGGCACATTCAAAATGAGCTGAAACCTTACAGGTTCTACCAACTCCCCAAAGCACCTTCTGGGGACTAAGCCTTAACACTTACAGAGAGGAGCCAGGCATGGTGGTGCTTGCCTGTAATCGCAGCCCTTGGGAGGCTGAAGCAGGAAAATTGCTGTGAGCTCAAGAACAGCCTGAGTTCCAAAGTGAGTATAAGATCAGCCTGAAGTACAGAGTGAGATCTGTCTCAAAAAAGAACAACAACAACAAAAAAAAGCAAAAAACAAAATCAGAACCACTTACAGAGAAGTCTAATTGGGCTCAGTATTTTAGAGGATCATTTCACGATCCCTTGACCCTATTGCTTTAAGTCCATAGTTGACTCACATAATTACTGTGTGGTTTCTGGCTAGATCCTCACTGGTTCAGATACAAGCTGCAGGTATATCCTGGGAGAAGTACCAGTACAGATGGAATTGGGAAATTGTTTTGATTGTACCCTTGTAAAGCCCAATGCTGACTTTTATTTATTAGAGATAAACTCTAAATCCAAACTATAGCAGTAATATCAACAAGGATGTTTTAATATAAGAAACTGCTAACTATAACAAGTTATTATCTAGTAAGGAGGAGAAACGATCTCTAAAGAATATAAGCAAAACATAAAGAGAAGTCACTGCCTCTAGGGCTGCAGCAGAGTACCCAAGAAAGAGACAAGCATGCAGTGGACACCCCATCCTGGGTTGAGGTCCAGTCTTCCACGGAGAGAACAGAGAAGTTTGCTAAGCCACCATGATGGAGAAGCTTGAAGGGGAGCTTCCCTCTGAAGGCCCATATCAGGCACTCAAGCGGTTAGTATGCTATTGATGTTGCTAAGAATCAGCGCCTAAAGTGCTGGGCTGGGAGGCGTCCTCTAGGAACCAAGGAGGCTACCAGTGAGTAGGTGTCATTCCATGGACACTTCCAGTAAGTTGCTACAAAGTTGGCATTACTGAATTTGACTTTGCGTTAGTGCTAACCACTGGGAGTTCCGTGTATGCTGGCTGCTCTGTGACAGCGAGACAAGACAAGAGCAGCTCTGGACTTGGACACACAAGCGACTCCTAGGGTTCTTCTAGGTTCTCCACCAGGTGGTCTGTGAGGGGCAAGCTCATTTTAACTGCATTAAGAGACTTTTAGAAAAGTGATTTGATCTTGGGGTACTGTATTTATCAGTAGGTGTGCTATAAAGTGCTGAGACCCGTTTAGAGGTGGAGCAAACCTTTTGAGAGTGTATGTCTTGCTGGCACTCCTTCCACGTACTCTGATTCCTGGTTGCAGTGAAGCAAAGGGATTTTTTTCCACCACACCCTTCTGCCTTGATCTTCCTGTTTTAAAGCCAGCTCACCGTGTCCTAAAACCTTTGAAACACGAGCCGAATTAAATGTCTCCTTTAAGTTTTATATGTCAGATCTTTGTCCTGGTAATGGAACGCTAACTGATACAAGAACTTGGCATTCAACCAGCTTGTGAAGGCATAATATTCTGGTGGCACAGCAGGAAAATCAAGGAAAACCTTGGAGCTGCCCGGCACTGACAACTGCAAACTTAGCCTCAGGTGGAAATGACCAGCTCCTTTCTTTAGTATCAACCTACTTTCGACCTCATCTTGCTTTTTCTTTCATTTCTTGTTCTCTTTAGCTTGAGGAATCTTTGTTACACCTAGGTCTGAGCAGCTTGGCTGTCATATGCCAAAGCTTTATCCCAAATTGGGTGCTCCTTCCGCTTTCCTTCAAGCTTCATTTCAGATGCAATAAAATTTGTTACTTTTCCATTTTCTCTCTCTCTTTCTTTCTTTCTTTCTTTCTTTCTTTCTTTCTTTCTTTCTCTCTCTCTCTCTCTCTCTCTCTCTCTCTCTCTTTCTTCCTTTCTTCCTTCCTTCCTTCCTTCCTTCCTTCCTTCCTTCTTTCTTTCTTTCTTTCTTTTTTTCTTTCTTTCTTTTTTTCTTCTTCCAGGAAGTGAACTCAGGACGTCACACTTGCCAGGCAGGCACTGTACTCCTGAGCCATATCCTCAGCTCTACCTTTCTATTTTCTATTGCCAACTTTTCTCTTAGGCAATCATATAAGATGCTCTGATTAAATGAAAGGCAGCAAAGGAGCGCAAGAGAATAGGTATGTATGTGAGAGGTGTGTGGTTAATAAAATACAATCTGTCATATCTATAAAGAGTTACATTAAAGTATATTTCCATTTAAATGTTGATATAGAAATATGGGAAATATTCTTAACTGTAGTGTTATAAAAATAACCTTTAGTCATCTTAACTATTAACTATTGAGGGAAATAGCCTTTGAAATTCATGCCTAGCTTGCTAATTTTTATGCAATAAAAATCTCTTAGTGTATGTGTTCTACTTCTTTATTGGATTTCAAAGTATTTTAAAGCAAGAATGAAGCTATTGCAAATATCTTACTATTATGCTTTTAAACTGCCAGCATAACAAATGATTTCATATAATTTGGCAGAATGTCATGCATTCCTTTTTGCAAGTTTAGATATCATTGTTGTAGGGTTTTTGTTTGTTTTGTTTTTTGTACCAGGCATCAAACTCATGACCTCACGCTTGCCAAGTAGGCGCTTATGCTGCTGAGCTAAATGCCCAGAAATTGTTGTAGTTTTTAAGTTTTCAGAATACTTTCAAGTTCATGGCACTGCACACAGAAAGGAATGATGTCCCCTCTGTGGAATTTATTAATATGTAGAACTAAATTCAAGTCCTCATGTAAAGAAAAAAATATAGACTTAATCATTATAGTAGTGAATTTGATATAAAGACCAGATCAGTTATTTTTCTCTCTGCTAATGTCAAAGTAAGACTGAATTGACGAAATGAACAAGTTTCTGTCTCATATTTATTTACTAATCAAATTTTCATACTTTATATGCGGCAGCAGCCCTGAACTGTGAACCAGATAACTCTTGATGATGAACTTACATGGAAAACTTGTATTTTGGGCTGGAATATCCTTTTCTGTCTAGTTTCTATGGAGACATATCTGTGAAAATCATCTAAAAGTAACTATTTTAAAAGGCAGGATGTTAAATCCTTACTCTGCCTTCAGTGATTTGACATCTGTTTTCATCAAAAGTGAAATAGTAATCTTAATCAACTAAGCCAACTAAGAATGAAGTTAGTTGCTCATTTCCATCGCTAGAAACAATAATTTGTCTTTGAGCTGATAAGGTGATTAAAGCACTGATGAGACTTTTTGATACAATTTTTTAAAGTGTTATTGCTTAGGTAAGACCTCCAAACCAAACTAAGTATTGAGTTTAACTGTATACTACATTTTGAACATTTGGTTAAATAAATGTTTTAAAATCATCATATAGCAACTTTTGTTTTGTTGAGACAGGATCTGACTGGCATAAAACTCACTGTGTTGCCCAGAATGGCCTCCAACCTGCAGTACTCCTATGTTGCTATTTATCAAATAGACCCCTGGGAACTACTGATGATCTATTCTTGGGCAGATAATTCATTCCTTTAGAAACAATCCATATATTATATAAGTTTGGAAGAAAACTTATCAGTCAACCTACAGATAATATTTATTTATTATTTATTTTTCTCCTTTCTCTTCTTCTTTTATTTTATGTGAATAGTAAAACAAACAACAAACAAGCTTTTACATGAATGATTTTTGAGAAAATGATTGTGTTTTCTAGAATCTGTTTCTTCAGTAACAATGGGAGATCTGGGACTAGTGTGAGTCTTGAAAAAAGATAAAGTATGTGAAAATGTTTATAAATTATAAAGTGTTATTCTACATTTATATTAGTAGTGATGGTTTTTGATCTAGGATAATGATTGTGCTAGAAGACTCCGTACCTCAGAAAGTATATTGCATAATATTTATGATATAGAAGCTCTGATTTCCTCCTCTGTAAAACAGTATCTGCTTTGTAAGATTGTTGTGGGAAAAAAGTAAGTTAATGCACATAAAGGAGTAATCATAGGGCTTAGCATGTATGAATCATAGATTTTAATATTCTATTCTTAGTACTATAGTTCTCATATTCAATATATTATTATACTTACATCATCTGTAATTAAACGTGAGTCATCATTCTGTGTAACACTTTAAATTCTTGCATGAAAACTTTAAAGATAGAGTACTGCCCATCATTATTCTAGTAAAATGATCATTATTCCAATAAAATGTAATTTCTAATAGTGTCCTATATATGAACCTTAACTTGTCTGACTAAAATTAGTTTTTATGCAATTAATTTAGGCTTCCATGTACAGTTATAACAATTCTAAATTAACTAGTTGCTTAACAAATTAAATGAGTACTTAGCGTTTTTGGAGCATCTAAAGTAATCTAATGAAAATAGTTACCAGCACTGGGCTGAGAAACCTGTGGGGAGCTATGAACTCCTATACTTCATGTTAATGGTAGCAGAAAGGGCTTACCATCCTCTCCTTGGGCAGTCATGTTGCAGTCACACTGGGCAGCAACTGCAAGGACATGGCTCACATTCCCTTTGCTTGATTTAGAGAGATGGAAGGGTTTAGTGTGAAACTGTAGGGATAGAGACCTTCAGGCACTTTTTCAATATTTTCATTCCCTTATGAAGAAAATATTTACCTGCCTCCGCTCTTCATTGCCTGATTCTATTCTAAGTTAAATTCATTCTTCCTTTGTTATTCTTTCATATATATATATATATATATATATATATACATATATATATATATATATATATGCTCTTTGCCATTATCTGTTTTCAACTATTTGCCTATTGATGCTGAGAAATAACTCTCTCTTTTTCTCTGTCTCTCTCTGTCTGTCTTACACATTAAATGATTTCCCCTTTCCCATGTGGAAAGACAACAATAATTAAAGTCATACCTTGGTATTTGATTGCTGTGAAACTCACCAGATTTAGAACTTGATGCATTCTGATGTGAAAATTCTATCCCCGTCGATACCATTTGTTTATACTCAACACTCAAGCTAGCACTTGGTATCGATAATCTCATTACTTGCTACCCTTTCAGCCAAAACAGTTTGGTCTTCATAGTTTTTGGTACTGGTTAAGTTTCCTGGAAGCAATTAATGAAGAGCATCAAGGTATCACTATATAGCTAATTCTGGGGCTGTGGGGAGGAATCAAGGCTGAATAAGGTGAAAGAAAGCAATAATACTGACTTTGAAAGACATCAGTAGAGAATCAGTGCTGACATGCTGTACAACCTTTCAAAGAATATTGAAGGGCTCAATATCTCCAGCGCAGTCCATTTTCCTCCTAATTAAACCTACTTTGATTCAAGCACTAGGTCTAATGATGCACTTAAAAACTTTTTAAATTGCATTATTTTTTGTGTTATACCGGAATAATTACAGCACTTTGTACTTAGCCTGGGATTGTATCGTGCTTGGCCATAAAGTCAGTCATTGCAAGGAAGTTCATAGACCTCACTCTTTGTTCTTCTGTTACCTTTAAATCTCCTCTTTCATTCACCTAGGTGAATAGATGTTCCTTATGTAGGATACAGTAAGTTATATCACTAATGGATGTTCCCCTCAAATACATTGGCTTGACACAAGAGAGGCTTATTTCTCACTCAAAGTTGGGCTTGTCAGGTGGCCCTGTTGGAACTTGTGAATATGTCATCTGGAAAGTGCACTTGAAGCTCTTTGTAGTAGGGGAGGACAGAGATGCAGGAAGCACTGGCTTTGAATTTCTTCCTCCTTGGCAGGGCGCACATCATTTCTCTGGCGACTAGTAGTCCCGTGACGGCAGCCAAAACTGTGGATGAGCCTAGAAAATGGAGTAGGATGGAATCATTCTTTTTTCTGAGTCACTCCTCTTTCTTTTTATCTGGGCTTGAATTCTATTCTTGCTTATAAAGCTTGAACCTCCCACTACCACTTCTCCCTTTCCACTTAACCATCTGTTGTCTTACCTGTTCCACCTCTCCTACCAAGATCTCCCTAAAAAAAATGAAACATTGTGTCACCCCTAAGACCCTTTGTTACTCTGACCCTGCTTCTTTCCTGCTATCCTTTACTTGGAGCTCTCCATCCACTCTGGCAGAGTGTTATAGTTCCTATATAAATTTGCTTTTTAAAGCACTAGATAACAGGGTTCTTAATTCCCTCATTTTATTCCAATTACCATATCTTACAAGATTCCATGATGACTTAATAAATATGTATATTTATTAAATCTAACTCACCCTGTCCAGGACCTAAAATATTGTTATTCACTGTATATTTTTTTCTGGGTAAAATTGTCTCTAAAATTTGATCTCTTCAGCTGAATTTTCAGGAATGCTAAGAGGCAGCCCGTTAACTATGAGCTAATGTAACTTTGAGTTTTCTGGTGCAGAGTGTCAGACCCTTCAGAAGCAGAGGGGTGCCTGGGTGTTGAACATGGGTCTGGCCAGGCCATAAGTACCTACATGTGTAATAAGCTGCACCCTTCTGTATCAAGGCGCTCTTCATAAAGCTTAACATATGTGAAATTAGTAAATGACTTAGTGATTATATGAAAAGTAATATCAAGAAATATAACAATGACAAGATAAGTGGAAGCAGACCTTTGAAAGAAAGCAAAGTAATATATGTTATTTCTTCTATAGGTAAGATGAAAAACTATAGCGTGTCAGAATTTTAACTTGAAGTAACCTTTAAACTCTCATTTAGTCTCTTTCTGGTGGTCAGCAGTGCAGTGTTGAGAATTTGGTGGTAATTGTTGTTTTCTCATTTTGTACAGCTTCCTCCAGCTTTGCACCACAATTTGAAAAGAAGGGTTATAGAGAGATTCAAGAAATCCCTCTTCAGCCAGCAGAGTAACCCCTGTAATTTGAAATCTGAAATTAAAAAGGTATGATGTTCTATATAAAAGAATTCTTTGACAAAATCATAAGAGTTACACTTTATTACCTCCTTTACTTTTTACTTTTAAGTTGTATTCTGTATTACAAGTTATTAGTCCTGCTTAAAATACCACATCAAGGAGATGCCTTTGCTTCTCACCTTATGTCTGTGGCCATTATTTTCAGATGACTAATAGTTATGATTGCATGCTTTTCGAAGATTAAACAGTATGATATATGTTAAAGTTAAAGTGTGTGTATTTTAGTCTTACAGGTTTCTATCCCAATACTTTATTAAAAGAAACTTCAGCAACCCCCTAAAGTGAGGTTACACTCTGAGAAGTCAGTTAACCATTTGATTTTGATCCTCTATGAGGGGTTAATGAAATTTCTCAGCATATGTCCATCTTCAACATTCTATAATTTATTGCTTGCAAGTAGTTTTATTTGTACACACAGAAACAGTAACTCAGTCACACAGAAAAAAATTGTTTACCTCCTCTTAACACAGCTTGGTTATTATAAATCCCTTTGCTTTTCAAAGAGCTATATGCTGCCATTCTCCAGTCTCCAAGACACAGGCAATTTAGGCCAATGCTTGGTCAGTTTTTAAAAAAAGTTTCCTCATAAACTTTGGCACAGTCTTTGCTGCCAGTGAACTTTTCTTTTGGAATTTCTTTGTCCTTTAATTAATCCAGTCATAAGCAGAGACTTACTCGTTATTCTGGAAATATAGTAGGCTCTTTGATGAGAGAGGAAAACAATGATTTTGCTTTGTTGCCTCCTGTGAGTGGTACTGAGCATCACTGAAGCCCACGCAGACTGAAAGAGAGTATCATAGAAGAGAAATGAAAACAGCAGGTAAACAAAGCATAAACCCTGTCTCACCAGATATCAGAGAGCAAGATTTGTTTCATGCATTGGTTGGCAAATAGGGACCAGGGAACAGAGCTGGAGGAGACTTAAGCAGAAGTAGAAAAACCTCAGATATTTATTTTATTATATTTACATTCCTGAATACCAATTGATATCTTTTAAAAAGACAGAAGCTCGAATTTCCCATGGAAAAGATTACATGTTGCTTGGTTTTTATATTCTTATTAAAGTGGTATTCAGAATAATTCAGTTTGTATGCAAACTCATTTTATCAGAAATCCTAGTTTTATGAGTTGAAAATATCTACTAAAAACTTTCCAGTGCCCAAAGATGGCTTTGACCCTTCTCTACTTAGTGATTTTCCACCAGTGCATGTCCTTAAAGCAAATCATTTTCTTTTTTTATTACTCGGGTTTTTGGTTTCGCCTCCCTTCTTGCTTCCTTTCCTCCCCAGATGGCAAAGAGATTTCCACAGCTTTAGCTACAGCTTGGCTCATGATTGGCAGAGGCACAATCCCATTCGTCTACAGGCTCCCCAGGCTGGAGTCAGCTCCGTGAAGGTGGTTTGCACCCATGACCCGATGGGGCAGCCTTGCCTTCTGAGTACCAGTGCACCTTCCATGTGGGATGTCTACATCTTCCTGTCCTCACCACTGAACTGAGAAGTCTGCACCTACATCAAAGCCTTCCCTAACTGTCCTGGTCCAGAATTAATTTCCCCTTTCTCTATGCTTGAATCATTTTTTCACTTATGTTTTAAATAGCTTTTTTCATTATGTTTTAAATAGCTTTTTATATGCCTTATTTTACTGTTTTCCCTGAAGGCTTGAATGTCTTTTATTCATCTTTGATTCCTCAGGCTATGGCACAATACCTGGCATGTGGTAAGCCCTTGGTACATAATTAGTGAATATAGAATATATTCTATGCCAGTATATTTTGTATAAGGTTTTACTTTTAATTCTTTATTAAAATATATATTGATACAATGCATTACTATATTTCTATGTGGACATAGAATATGCAAAGCTAAATAAGAAGGTTGTGACCTCTGTTTTTTCTTCTTTCCAATATAATATTTTCTTGCAATAATTTTTATTCAGAAATGGATTTTCATCTCCTTCATAGTCAGAGAAAAGTGACCAATTAACCTTTAACTGACAAAGTCACTCCACAGAGGACTATGGCAGCAGGATGTGAGGGTACATAAAATGTGCTTCATTTTTACCTTTTAACCCTTGTCCCCTGAGACCCAGGGACCCCGTTCCTCCATTTGGAGGTATTATGGGATGCATGTGCCTACTTATTAAGAGCCTAAGACCTAACAGTGTATGTAGAAGAGTCAAAAATGGAAAAGTTCATTTTATGAAATTAAATTCTGTATTTATAATTCTCCTAAGGGATTCTTCAGCTCAGTCTTCTCAGTCTTGGCTACAATTTTAGGGGCAATAAACCAACTGAATAATTATGTATGCATCTTTGGAAACTGGAACTTTTGGTATGGGCAGAAGAAATTAAGCTAGAAGAGATTAATTCATTAGAATTGGAAGGATAACTATGAATGAATATAAATTCACAATTCACCTTCAATAAATACATACTTCTTTAAAAATACATACTTCCTAATAAATCCACAGGAATGGCCTACAAACTAATCAGGTAGCAATGAGCATCTCTACTTATAGTTCCTTGGTGATGTCTCTACTTGGCTTAAAGGGGAGAGTATACAAGAATGCAGAGTATCTTAACTCAGCAGATAACAAATCAGTGCTATCAAGGAGTCAAGGACGGATCTAAAAGACTCAGAAGCTAGCTTGAAGAGCCTCCCACCAACTCTTTGTAGGGTAACTGGAGCACAATAAAAATAATCACTACAATGGAATAAAGCATTAATTTCCAAATCTTAAGAGTTCATAACAATACTAATGAAAAAAAAAATCCTGCCTTGCCTGCCTTTGGAGAATGTTAAGTAACTCATTCATCATTTTCAAAATTGCTTAGAAGGAAAATAATTATTCAGTCTTTCCTTTATTAGTTCTCTCTTGGAGTAACTAAATTGCTGGAGAAAAGTTTCTCATTATAGAAGTACATCAGCTAATAACTGTGAAAGAAATGAATATTGCAGTTATGAAGCCCAAATGAAAGAACAGATCTAGATGTGATCCCCAGTAGCTGCTAACATTACAAAAGCAGGGACAGCCAGGCATTATGTGCCACCTGATAGAAGTACTCAATATTGCCTGTGTTATATTTCTATTGAACACGTACATCTATACCTGCCTATAAATGTAATGTTACCAAGTAATGTCCTTCAGGCTAGTCTGTCCTAAGTTTTATTTAAGTTTGTGTGTTTATTTGTGTATTGTTAGTGGCTACTAGCATACTGTCTATAGCAAAATTGAATAGCTGAAACAGAAATCATACAGTGATCTGAAAATATTTATTATTTAACACCTTTCAGAAAATAGTTTGCCAGTTCCTGCTCTGAATCTAGTTTGCTACTTACAAAAAACACAGGAAACAAGAAAAAACATTAAATGACACCATGAGAATAATCAGCAAAATCCACACTGGGATTTTGGAAAAGTAATCTATTTTCTTCCTCAAATGGATTTTTAGGAAAGAGGAGGCAGGGAAAGATTTTGGAAAGGAAGAATAGAAGAAGAAAAGAGGAAAGAGATTGCTTATGACTAACAAACAGATTGAGGAAAATTATCAACAACTTTCAACGTATTGAGTTATTCCTTTCTGATTTAAAGAAACTAAAAGATATTAAATACATAGTTATGAGGCAAACAACATTTAAACATTAATTATACATTGTTTTACAGAGGAGTAAATAATTTCTCTTGGGATCATTGTACTGCGGTTCTTTATTAAAAATGAAATCCATTTTTATTAGGAGCTGTGCTGAAATATAGTTATCATATATGTTGTACAAGATTTGTTTGCCAATTCTTGAGTGTATGGAAGAAGAGAAGTGGAAAAAGATATAAATGAGGCAAAATTAGCTATGGTTAAGCTGAGCAATATCTCTCCTTTGGTAAATGTTTAAATTTTCTGTAATATAGGAGTCTTCGTTGATGATAGTCTTTGGTTGTTTTTCATATTAATGCCAGGATCCTCCCATAGCAATGCCTAGGAAGTAGTATTTTGCAAGCAACTCTTTGGACAGAAAGAGAATTAGAATTGGACAGATTGTTTTCTAGCCAAGAGCAGCTGCATAAAAGACAGACCAGGCAGAGCTGTATCCTCCTGGTGTAGTAGGTGAATTTTTTTTTTTTTCATTAGTATGAAGACACTGAATGAGCTCTTAGGGGCATGGGTCTCTAGCGATTTTAGCATATATTCAGAGCTGAGAAACATTACATTATAGATGCAAATAGTATTTGTTTCAAAGATTAAAACAACCAAAGGAATCTAGACCCAGCTGTTTAAAGCATTCAACCATGACTGAGAGTTCTTACATTTTGCTGCTTATTAGAATCATTTAGAGCTTTTAAATATACCAACACTCAGGTCACATACCTCATCAGTTAATTCCCTGGGGGTTGAATCTTCAGGGGTGAGATCCAGTGGTTTTTGTTTATTCGTTTGTTTTGTGTTCACAATCCCAGGTAATTTCACTGAGCAATCAAAAGTTGAAAACTGCGAGGTCAAAATTTCTCATATGAATCACTGGGAACTTTGTTAATCTGTGGTTCTGATTTAGTGGTTCCATAGAAGCCAGTAGCTTCAGATCCAGGGATGTACTTTGGGTAGTGGAGTTATGTAGAATACAAGGTGCCTGTCTACTGGGAACATACGAGAACATTCTGGGAACTGTCTTGAGACTTTTTATTAGAAACACAGACTGTCTAGTTAGGCCAACATATTTATCTGTGTACAACAGCATACTGGGCCCACATTTCTGCATTACTACCCAGCTCCCCAATGCTGCCAATTCTGTCATTCTACATACACACTTTGAATAAGAAGGACTACATAACACCCAGTGATATTGTCCTGGTGTGTGGGCTAGATAGTCCAGAATGTCTTTCTGTAGAAATGGGCCTTCTTGACACTTCTCTTTGGTTTCTAGTCTCCATTTCAATGAAGATTAGCAGGCCAAGGTTACATTACTTAACAGCTG